CGATATCAGACACAGAAGAACTCGAGGAGGAGGACCCCCTTTCGTCAGAGCTGCCACTGAGAGGAGGAGCCAGGAATTGGATATTAGCTCACTTCACGGAGAATCGCTCTCTCTACTTCCCTCCCTCCCTCACGAACATGGCGCTGTTTTCCTGATTTGCTATGTTTGTTTCAAAAACCATGTTACTTTATTAAATTACCCATTTTTGAACCTTTTTTGAAAGGACATTGTCTCTTTTTAACTTCCTCCTGGACGTGAGAACAACGATCGCGATCTTCAATAGGCAATGGTGTTGCCGTTTTAAAGACCAAAACTGGTTAAAGTTGTAAGTAATTATATAATATTTGTCATTTTCTAATTGCCTGTATAAATGGAAAACCAAGTAGATTAGTAACTGTATTTTTGTCTGGTTCAGCCGATCAGATATTTAAGTAAGATAAGAAGTACTTTATTCATCCCAATTTGGGAGATGTTTGCGTTGCAGCAGCATAAAAAGACATGGCATTGTATGCAAGGGTGTAACTTTGGTTTGAGAAGTGGGGGGGACACAAAACAGGGGGTCCTCCGCAATGAAACATTGTTCTCGATTTAATTCCATTTCCTGCCTTTCTACAAATATATATTAGGGACTATGGTGTTAACTAATCCAAGAAAAATGTGTAGTGTGTATAATGAGTGTGCAAACTTATCTATCCATGAACCTGTTTTATTTGTGATGACCTCACATCCTATAGGGGGGTCCGGGGGCATGCACCCCCGGTAAGATTTGTTTCTTTAAATTTAAGTTAAAGGCATCAATCTGGTGCACAAATTAAGAGATTTATGGATACAGCCTCTCAACACTCATATGAAACAGAACTGTATATATTTCAATACTCCAAAAACCATTAGAATATGCTCACAACCAATAACACATCATTGATATACTCCTCTCTCCTATCTTTATCTTACCTAGTCTGCATTCTTTCTTTTTATTTATGCATATTTTACTAATCACTTCCTTTTCAAACTGTGTTTTTAATTTTTTACTGACATTGGAATGACTTTTTAACTTATTTTGAACAACTACATTAAATAGATGGAAATATTTGTTTAGACCAAACCGTTTGAGACCCACTGAGATAACTTAGACTAAGGTTTACAATATAATCACTCAGCGAGTCCTTTACCTCCCTGAGCTGATGTTATCTCAGCCTCTCAGTCCGACAGGAGAGGACTCTCCCTCTTCTTATTGTTGAAACAGCTTTATAATCTAATCTCCGAGCTAGCACCAGATGCTAACAACAACCCCCGTAACTCTCTCTCTCTCTCTCTCTCTCTCTGTCTCTCCCTGTCTCTCCCTCCCTCTCTCTGTCTCTCTCTCTCCCTGTCTCTCCCTGTCTCTCTCTCTCTCTCTCACACAAAATGCGCTCCTGCCACAAACACACACAGACGCTCCTCCGTGACGATGACCACTTGCGTAAAAAAAAAGAAAAAGAAAAGAAATTTGAAAAGTGGGGGGGACACAAACGGGATTTTGAAAGGTGGGGGACATGTCCCCCCTGTCCCCAGTGGAAATTACGCCCATGGTGCCATCTATAGCGAGGGTTTGTAATAGCTTTGGTTTGTTGACGCTTCTGTCTCCTGCAGACTCACAACTGTCAATCTCTTATATTACACACAAAACAGCAATAGTTGTAACACTCTCACACAATGGTGTAAGTGTTTACAGCTCTTACTAGAAAAAAACACAAATATTTTTGCATCTAAAAGGTGTTGCTTCTATTTCTCCTTTCCAAGTGACCTTGTGAGTGAGTGGCATTACATTCTATCTGAGCTTATCATGTGACGTGTATATGTGGGTCCACACGTGTAAACATGCCTGAGTCTCTGAGAGCATAATCATGTGAAGGTGACAGGCAGGTGTCAATCACTTGTCTGCGTTTTAGCAACCACTCACCATCCCCCTCCCCCTGAGACACCCTGCTCTCAGGGCTGGTACCCACAGCGGAACCGCATTGGGGGGTCCTGCTGAGGGAACCACGACAACACGGGGGTCACATATTTGCTGGTTACAACCACCCTGATGTATGTGTCCTATTTATACTGTCCAGGTCATTGTCTGCATAGTGCACGTTCTCAGACTGGTGCTGGCATTTTATCTCTAATGAGGAGTATAACAATGTTGCTGTAATTTGCCATAACAATGGCATTATAATCGTAAAGTGTCATGTGTGACAAATAAGACCGCGTCTGCCCAGGCCTGAAATCTGCCCTGTATTTCTTTGATGAAGCAAAGTCCACACAGTGCAGTGCAGGAATTCCTCACAAAAGCAGGTCTTTTGCTCTTGGACAGGGTTTTGGTATTCAGCTGGAACTAGGTCACAATGTTCACCCCAACTGTGGGATAAGTGGAGCAGAGGAGCAGCAGCCCGGACTCCTCCTCAGCCTGGCAGGAAGTGGCCCAGCAGAACACTGTGGGTAATGAGCCTGAAGCATTAACCTTCCCTCTCCTTGACTTCAATCCCACCTGGCTAACAACAACCCTGGAGTGTGCTAATATGTGTCTGTTTTGCTCTGAACACTTTAGGCGTGCTTGATTTAGCATGGGTAAGAGGGGCTTGGCTGGAGGTGTTCTTTCAAGCACTGTTAGTGTTATGGTGTCGGAGGGAAAAAAACATCTGAGGTAAATTCACACAAAAGAGACAAAATATGCTGTTTAAACCCAGGGTGAGTATGCACAATTGATTTTCGCATGCACTGACCTTTATCTCATCTTCCATGTTTGACACTCTTTTCTCAAGAGCTTGTTTTTCCTGCAAATAAAAAAGGAAAAACTGAAATAAATACCATGAGTGAAACACAATGTTACGGTCTGAAGTAGTCAGGAAACATAGAGGGAAAAAAGCGAAGAAAGCATTTGGTCATCCATCTTCATAATGCAGGATCATGATCTTATAAAAAAAACAAAATGCCAAAAGGTTTGTAAAGCACTTACCCTTTTCTCAGATTCGACGGCTGTAGATCTCTCTGATATTCTGTCGTGCCTCTATAAAGTAAAATGATACTGTTATTTTTGAAGAACCGGAAGGATTATATTTATTTAGTAATCAAACCCGCCTTATAGTTCCACACATACATGGAAGAGGATAAGGGTGAAACATCGAAATAATTGACAGTTTTTCTGTACCTGAGTGACTTTGTCCAGCTGGGAGCGTATCTTCACCAGTTCCTGTTTGCTGTCCTGCAACCTCGACTTGAGTTTATCATTCTCATGCAATGCCTCTGCATACATCTGGAAGTGAACAAAATGAGGATTAAGGAAATGAAAGAAAGATGTTCAGAGAAATGTTGGTTTTTCAATACCATAAATTATTTAAAAAATATTCAATAACACATTAGTCATTATAACAACTACATGTTATCAAGCAAACATATTTTCTTTTTTAAATTGTTTTGATATTTGTTTAGTTTTTGACAAAAAGGAACATTTATAATAAATATAGAAATAAGAGGTTGCATACAATAAAAAATATATATACTTTTGTTCAATGGTATTTTTATTATTATTTTATCATTATTTTCAAATGTGCTATATTTTATGTTTATTTATTTAATAATTCAAGATGACACTTGTTTAGTCCATCTGCCTCTCTTCAAAGCAGAGAACCGCAGTGACGCGTTCTAAAACCTGCCTAAAACCCGGAAGTAAACTCCTTCCGGTTCGTTCGTCAAAAAACAATGCAATTTCTCCATAGGATTTTGGAAAATAGCTCGAAATAAGGTCTGTGGTTGACACACACTTAAGAGACGGATCACGTTTTGTTCAGCCGGATAATATCCACATGTCTACCCTATTTTTATAATTTTCGAATCATAAATCTAGTCGTCAGAAGCAAAATGCTAACGTTATGCTATAAACGAACTACAGCAGGGTCGCTGCTTCAACGTCACGCAACTTAAGATCCATATTGAACATTACATTACATTACATTGCATTTAGCTGACGCTTTTATCCAAAGCGACTTACAATAAGTGCGTTCGACCAACAAGATACAAACTTGAAGAAAACAGAATCATATAAGTACATCAGGTTTCATAGAGCTAAAACATTTCCAGTGCTACTCAACTGGTTTTAAATAAGCCAGCCCTTTATTAGTATATATGTGTTTTGTTAGCAATTCTTTGTTAGTAATTCTATCGATCGGGAAGAGGAGTCGAAAGAGATGAGTTTTCAGTCCCCCCCGGAAGATGTGCAAGCTATCTGCTCACCAAAACTACAGATTCAAAATTGTTCAAGTTGAGCGTTTGTTTTCACAGTTTGCAAGAGCGCAGGTACTTGCTTTCAAGCAGAACAGGGCAAACAATCTTAGCGGGAGCGTTTACGTGTTCGGTGTAATGACGTACAACGGCCTCAACAACTTCTGTAGTCCTATTCAGCCAAATGTTAACAGCCATCGTTTTTC